TTTAGTAGTTTCATGAATAACTTCGTCCACCACAGCTTGCTCATAGGGGTCCAATTTCACAGATTCAAAAACTCGTTATCAACTGCCCTTGCCATCACATCTGCACTATCGCATTGATCATTCAAAAGTCTTAGGAAAACTTCATGAATTTCAGAACATCAAAATACACTTCCTAATAATCCTCTCATGGTACTTTTCCCCTTTTGTCATCAATTATCGCTCGCCCAGCAGCTTCCAAGTATGCAATAAGGACATTTTTATCTTCCACCATGTCCAAGACAACAAAATCAGCATGAAATATAAATTTGTTAGCTTTAAGCAGAACTTCCTCGATTATGCCTTAGGACAAGTCACAGAGCGGTCAACACCGTGATAAGTTGAACCTCTATGTAACCCTTTATATAGAATAAAGTTGAAATCTTAAACATTGAGGTGCATTTTGGTGTGACGGTGAATTTTCATTGAAAACTCCAAAGTTAAGGGTGCTCGTCATGGAACACTCCTGGGATGGGTGGCCTTTTAAAAAGTTAAACCAATAGGACAAAATCGTGAGACCATTTTGCCAAAGCGAACAATACATTGATGATTGAGAGTTCAAGTGGTCACAAATGATATCAAAGCATTACAACAGTCGAAATATGAGAATTAAGTGTCATACAGAACAAAGTGCTAAGAGTATCATCTCTTGAACGCAAGATGAGACAAAGTGTCACATGGTGAGAGTCACCTTTTGAGCTTGTAGGGGCCACCTTTAGAATCTTATATGCTTGGTGGATGATTCTAGGTAAGAAACTTGACGAGAACCTCAAATACTTAAGTAGGGGAGATTGTGAAACTCTTTAAGTAGAATGAAGTTGAACTCTTCAACATCGAGGCCATTTTGGTATAACAGTAGAATTACATTAAATACTCTAAAATTAAGCGCACTCTTCGTAAAACACTCTTGGGATGGGGGACCTCTTGGAAAGTTACACCAAAGGGACAAAAGAATGAGGTTGCTTGGCCAACGAGGACAATACCTTAATGGTCGAGAGTTCAGGCTATCACAACCTCTCTAAATCCTAGTTTTTTAAAAATGATCAGAAGCAAAAGGCTGAAGCTTAGGTTGCACATAGCCCTCTCACTAAATATCCTTCCTATAGCATAAGAAATGGTGAAGCTGCCTTAGTTCTTCAATATTTTTGGGCAACTTCTTATGTGGGATAACACTACACTCCTCAGTCGGAACAACCATCTCACTGGCTCCTAATTTTCCTTACTTGTCTGAGATCCTTTAAGAACACCACATAACTCGACATCCATTCTAAAGCTTTATCATAAGGAATATTAATGGGGAGTTTGTTGACAACCTTAAAAACCTCGAATATATGTTGGTCCCCCCTATGCTTCTAAAGTATATGGGGAATCGATGGTGGTGGCCTCTCTTGCTCCTTCCTAAGAAATGAGGGTCTTTTTCCTAAATCACAGATAGGTTTTTCAAGAAGGCTTGCAAGATGGTGGTGGCCTCTCTTGCTCCTTCCTAAGAAATCACAGATAGGTTTTTCAAGAAGGCTTGCAAGATAGGCTCTATGAGTTCACTCTCCTTCACATGGGTATCTTTTTCCTAATACCAGTCCTCATTCGGATGAATTTACATTGCTCCACCTTCTGATCTCTTGGATTCACCTCGGTATTACTGGGGAGCATCCCTTGGGGTCTATTATTCATTGAGTTCGTCAACTATAAACTTTGATTTTCACTATTCTTTATGTCTACAGTTTAGCACTGTAACTGATTTCCATCTGTAACACTAAATTCTTCATTGAAAGTCTTTTCTCTTATGTTGGGCATTAGAAATGAATCCAGGTGGGTAAAAATGTCTCTGGTTACTACTGTCTTTATGGTTCTAATTTCTTATAGAGTTTGTTCGGGTGTTCCTCCACTGTTGGTTTTCTACCCCAGGGTTATTATTGCTCTAATTTAAATTTACGTGATTTTTCTAGCATGAGTTGTAGGTATTGGAATATAAGTTGTTTACTTAGTTTCCTGTGGCATTCACGTTCTAAGGCAATAATGCTCGAATATCTTTCAAGTCCATAAGTCATCTCATCACTTAATAGGGATCTTGACACAAAATTCATCCTAAAATTATTTATCTTCCTAGAGATAGCGGCAATATAGGCGACTAAGATAGTTAGAATATCAATCTCATGCACACCGGCTACTTTCTTCAGGGTGATTCATTCAGAAGACCATTGAAAATTGTTGATTTTCATTTCTTCAATCAATTCATAGGCCTCAACAAATGGTTCAGAAATTAGGGACCCCCAATTGCAGCATTTATAATAGACTTTAAGG